GTCCTTGGTCTCCCTAGCATTTAGCTAGGGTTAGGTCTAAATGCCTGGTTGTCAGTGGTGAGGTGATGGCGCCATGGGTGATGAGGGTGTGTGGATCTTCAATCAGGGATAGATCTTGGGCCTCTTCTCTATCTTCTTTTTTGTCTAGGTGATTGGCGACGCCCTACAGTGGGGATGACGTCATTGCATTTTTCTTCTTCTGTTCCTTCTCCGTCTAATGAAGTTCAGCCAAATGGGCTCCACCGAGGAACTTGCGAGGTTTATGACCCCCTCCTGTCTGGCAGGAGTTGGGATGACCTTCTGGTTCTCCTCAATGCCAATTTCTACGGGACGACAATCTGTTCAGATAATGATTGCCATCGTTTTTTGGTCTACATCGACGACTTCCTGGCCGATACTTCTTCAAGATTGCTCTGTTGAGAAGGAGGCCCAGAGGTGACAACGAGTTTTGCTCACGGTGCACCGCCAATGGATGCAGAATCGGGAACAGTGCTGATTTCTTCATGCTTATTAATTCTTGTGATGAAGTTGCTGTAAAGGTTGATTTTATCTAATACTCCCTCAGTCCCATAATATAAGAACGTTTTTGACACTAGTATAGTGTTAAAAACGTTCTTCTATTATGGGACGGAGGGAGTATATGATATTCGACCTTTCCGCAAAAAGAAATGATTATCCACTTTATTGCACGCAAACAAAAAGCTATCCTTGGAGGCAATATTCTCAACCTTGTTTTAAATGAAAGAGATCTCTACGCTCACAAAGAAAATGATATCTCTAAACTACATTGTGAAGACAAACTTTTTTGGCACAAAAAAATTAAGAAAAAACAAAAAAATTAATTTGACCCAGACAAAGTAATCATGATAAAGACAAAGTACCATTGAGGAATCCACTGGGGCTGGCCACTCAGCCGTTCAAAAAGGATTGCAGGTGTTTGCTGAGCACCGGCCAGCCGCCAGCTTTCCATCCTTGGAATCTTCCTGACGAGACATCAGAATGAGAAACCAAGGTCTAAGTTGTTTGTCCCGGTCACACCCAACAACACACAGCTTGCCAGAGTGTGAGGCACTGAAACTACCAAAATAACTTAAACTAATGCCACCAATATTGGATGGAAAAATACGCTAAAATTAAACGCCATCCCCGATTTTCTTGGATGAGCGCGCGCACACACACATGTCAAGGCCGCTGCATTTGTCAAAGTATGAACGCGCTCATACTATCTTCGGTCGCGTGTGCCAAATGGTTGAAGGTCCCCACAGGCCAAAAATGGTAAAAAATGAGAAGATTCGGGAGGCCCGATCGACGATCGATCGATCGGCGACAATGTTTATGCGAGTTCAGATGTGGACCTGCGGGTGTCCAACGTGGAATGGATTAGAGAAAGGGAGAATCTCATCCGGATATGTATGTATATGTATATAGCGTTTCCCGGTTGGTGCCTGCGGGTGCGCAAGAGGTAGAAGAAGAGATGCGGCAGCTCCTGAAGGCCTGAAGAGCCATGGCGCGCGGCCCTGATCGCGGCTCATTGGCTCCCCGAAACCCTGCTCTCTTTATTGCTTCTTTGGATCTGCCGTCGTTGCCTCGATCCATCCACATTAAGCAAGAGGGTGGTATACTAGTGGTAGTGCGGTTCACAGCTTACAGGTGTCGGATGGGTTGTCAAGTGTCAACCCTGGGTTAGCTCTGCATGATTATCTGCTTGCCGAATTTGGCAGGGGCCATGTTTCCCAAATGCTTCTCGGGGGCATGGCATCTCGACCGTCGCCGTCAGCTAGTTGGCCTTGGTTGATTGGTTCTGGCTTTATAAATTGGCGAGGGGTTTGTATGTGTGCGCGCGCGCTTCTCGTCATCGCCGGCATCAACCGGCCATACAGTACACGACGTCATGATGACTACTGGTCCATGGGTCGACGGAGCTGCACCCGCTGACAACACCTCTCGGCCCAGCGGAAACCCGCACGGGTTTTCCATTTTGCGAGCTCCCCCAAAATAACCGAGTTTTGGAGAGTAGATGAATATTCTGACAAAAATACAGTAATTAGAGCAGCTCCAACGCTATCCCCTAAAACAGACACACTATCGGTCTATGGACATGTTATAGGAGTCGGCCATTCCACCATATCACTTGAACACGCATCAAATCTGGACAGCCGAGGTGGGCCGACCTAGAGAACAAAACACATACGCCG